GTCGCGGCGGTGATGTGCAGGATGCTGACGTCGCCCTGCTCCTCCACCTGCGCAATGAGGATGTATGTCAATGATAATTCAATATAAAGAACGGAATGATGTATTTTGGTGCTTCCGGTGAAATACAAGAAAAGAACTACCTTTGTTCTTGGATGTTGTGCTGAAGCCGTTGACGTTTGAAATCTACCGTTCTCTGTTTCAACCATGCGGTGTTGGTTGATCTGCTACGTGATAGAGGGCAGGCCTGATGCTACAACGCCAGCTAACAGCGAACAAAGTCACGACTGGAATGATTATTTCGAGTGCAGGACAACGTTGCCGAATTGGGGCCAGCGCCTCAATTTTGCCGCACACGTTCTATGCATATGAGAATTTGGATCACACTGGTACTAAAATATGATACCAGCCACCATGTTGGTTCTGTATTTTTTCTCATGGTACGTAAGGTTTTCATCGAATAAAAGTGCAGCAATTATTCAATTGTGCAGTAAAATATGTAGTTTTCGTTAATTTGGAATATTTTGAACCTGGTCGGCAAGTACAGTTTTTCTAGCAAGATTTTATATGATTGCCTCTAGATTTAATCTTGATTATTAAAATGAGGTGAGAAAACCATTAAATAATGAAATAGACTGTCGTTTATATATTTCCAAGAAAGCTGTAATTTCTTTGAATTAATTCGACTACATGTTTTTTTCCTTTATAATCTGGATATATTTAGTGACATTATTTTCAATATCATATAGCACATATCAAATGTTTCTTCAATTTATTTATTATCACGCGTGCGTTTCTTAAGAGGTCCACCTTAGGAGACTATTAGACAACCGGTTACCTAATAGACTGATCGATTTACCATAGATCGATTTATCTTTTTTAATTATTTATCTTTTTATTATCTTTATTGTTTATCTTATCTCGTATCTTTTTTAATTCCTCTTTTCCAGAAACGAAATTAAAATATATTTTATATTGAATGTTCATAGATTGTAGGTTGTTTTTGTATATACTTCGTTTTAACTGAGTCATTATTGAGATCATGTAAATGAAAAATAAAAAGTCGGTCCAAATCAGGCAACTTTCCCCTTTATTAGAAGCGTCGTATTTAGGCTTCATGTTTCACATAATGCAAAAACGCGATGTGAGTCAGCTTGCTTTACGTACCTTCCCCAAGAAGGAAGGCACACAATTTTTTTGCCCTAAAAAATTCACTACTTCGACCCTGGTCGTGCCGCAAACGTCGGCATACACATTCTAAAGGTTTCACCGTCAGAGGCGCTAGAATTGAATACATGAAAAATTAATTCTTCTAAGATAATACCCACCGAGCGTCGTTTGCGGTTTTATGTTCATTTTCTAAGCAATTTTTGCAATAACATATACGATACATTACTTGTATAATAGAACATATTGGTTGCACGGCGAACACTTACAAAACATCAATATTCTCCTCGCGTATTTAGAGACTATGACATGAAGACGCTCCCTGGAAGCCCAGAAAAGGAAAAGTCGGCAGATTCCTGGAGGCCTTCACAAATCGTTAGATACAGTTTGCTTCAAAAGAGTTGGTGGGGCGTCAGAAATAAGTTTTGTAAAGCAGTCGTAAGGGGCATGCATGTACTTGAGATTCAATTTCCAATATGCTAATGTGACACAACTGTTGGTCTAGCTTTGAAATGCAGTTTAATGAATGGTTAACACATGCATGCAAGGTAATATTGTGAATAAGAACATGTAGTAATTCAAAGATCTTCATTCTGTTTAGAATTTTCTATAATAGTTATAAATATATTTAATTATGTGTATATATATTTCATAAAACGTGCACTGCAATTATACTAATAAAATTCTAGAATACCATTTAATAACATTAATGGCATTATAATTCCCCTTGAAATGTTTAATAAATTGATTTTCAATTGTAAAGGGGGATTTCTATAACTTATGGCTTTCGATACAGTACGATGGTGAAAGACTACTTACTGATGGCGACTGAAACTCTCACTAGTGGATTACATGTCAAGTGATATTTGTTATCATGTGGTACATATTTCTACTAACCGACTACTGGAAAGATACTGGTATTTGTCAGACGGCTAAGGAGAACTTTCACGAGGTAAACAACCCTTCGACGAACAGAAGCTACCTGAGCGTCTGCGGCTCCTCGAATCTGGCGCTACATGACACTCAGTCCTGGTGGAACTCCTATAATAAGGACATCTCCCGGGGTAGCTTTCCTCTCATAATTTTTATTTAATATATCACTGATAGAACATTATGAAGAGTTTAAACACATAATCTAATAAGAGATACACATCAGAATGTTTCGAACTAGGGAAGAGGGTTGGTCTCAGCCTTAAGATTCCAACTCCTCTAGTTTGAAAGTCCTAATCCGAAATTTAAAATACAGATCTAAATTCATTTTTTTACAAACTCTTCATTATATATCTTCTGCTGAGTAGTGGTTACAGCATCTCGCTGTCACATTTAAGTACTCCCTTTAAAACCGGTCACTGCACACGAAATGAGAGGTCAACAAAACGGGCTTAGAGGAACATGCTCAGTTGATAGGAACCGCGAACGCATTCCTACGCCCCCTTCACACACACGGGCGCGAACAATCGCATTGTTAAGATAAACGCGTCCCATCCACGCGGCTTGGTATGCGGAAGGGAGAGAGATGGCCATGTGGCCTCTCCAACAACGCAACGATCCACTAACAAAAAAACGTATAAAAAATAACGAGATATGGAAGTCGAAAGCGGCATACTCGTAGCGGGAACGAGTGAACAGGACGAGAATGCGAATGAAAAAACGAGAACAAAAAAAGAAAAAAGAAAAGCAAAAATAATGAAAGTAAAACGAAAGTATTATTTTCCTCAGCCCATTAGCATTTTTAGAATTCAGAGAATGTATTTAAAAAAATAAAGTGATATTCGAATAAAAAAAGTCTCGTAAGCGTTTATGGAACGTCATGTGGCTGAAGGAGGCGGGGCAGGGGCGGTGGGCTGTTACCTGGTAGAGCGCGCGGGACAGAGCTGTAGGGACACGCTGGCGCGGCGACGCACGACGCACGCCAGGCGCACCGGGTGTTCGGGCCGCACGATGGCAGCAGCCACGCAGAAGGCCTGCGCGGCTCCCCGGGCTCGCACGCACACGGACGACTCGGGCTTCTTGCATGAAACTCACGGGCCACGCTCACACACCAGACAGGGGGTCTCCTGTCTCTCCTTTGTCTCATCTGACCTGCCGACCGCCTCGGCCTGCGGTCGCGCCAGCGCCTGCCTCCTCGGCGCTGCTGCTCTCTGGGACAGACGCCGGAGGCGGGCGGTCCGCTGACGAAAATTGTGGGCTCTGACGTGAAAAAGCGATATGAACGCGAGGCTTGCGTGCTGGACGCAGCGTGATAGTTTTGTCTGCTTCACGCAGGAAACAAGAATGTGGCAAATTGAATCGCTTCATTTACAATGAAAGTTTAGTCTACGATTGGACCTACACCCTGGACAAAATGCGGCAGACTGGGCGTAGGCAAGTTAGGCGCAATAATTACATTTAGGTAGTAGTATATAACCTATTATATATTATATATATATATTATATAATATATATATATACACCATTATGTTCTCGCAAAGTATAATATATTGGATACTGTGTACCCGAAGCAATATGGCTGACAATATTCCTTTAAAGAAGCTCTTCCACATTAGGGATTCGTCACAACTTTTCTCGTTCGGATTTACTACGTCTCGTGTTCACGAAATAACGTTCACATTTTCAGATTTAACAAAGCTGTACCCGACACAGGTTTAGAACACACACTTTCAGTCCCATCCATGAGCTCGTGGGACTCGAACCCGCATCCTGAGGGAAATCAGCAAGTGTCGGGTGTCATTCCTGACACTTTCACTCGTGGGGTTGGGGCCACACATTGGAATTTGTCTGGATTGATATAACGATTTTTAACCACCGATTGTATTCGGTGTATGCATACAACTAAAAGAAAACTGATCCGTATCCGGAATGTGTATAATACCCTTAAAGTTTGTTCCGGTTTCGGGAGTAGAAACGGAAAAACAGCCAATCTTGTTTACGCAATATATATGGCAACATTCAGGAAATGTCTCATGAGATCGCAAACATCAGCAGTTGGCGCTTCTGAGGAAACCATACTACAAATAATAATGCGAATCACATTTTCATTCATGAGCGAATCGGGGGTGTGAACTACAGTTTGTGAAGTTCAATCACTGAAACTAAGAACTACTCTTGTTTGCCTTAAAGTTATTTGAAAGATCGACTACACCAAAAATGAAACTTTCAGTGTGATGAAGATATGAATTTATGCACGCAAACGATCGAGCCAATTGATAATTTTATACATTTTACTCCCCACTTTCAACCTAACTGGACCCGATTTTTTAACACTTGCATTACGGAAGAGTGCAATTGGGTAAGACTTGTTTTGGTAGCATTTCACGTTCGCAATAAAACACAGTTGATACAGTGTTCTTGGCCGTTTTTTTCTTTCGCAATGACAATGTGAAATGAATTGTGGGAATTATTAAATTCTTAATGTGTAATGAGTTATTTATAGAGCCCAAGCTGGGATGCAACCTTTGGGTATCTTATATTTTCCTCTCTTGTCACTAAGGATATTTGATACCTGTCGAGGTTCCGTTGTTACTTTTTGGAAGTATTACATTTTCGAATAATAATGTTGTATCAAGTATCACAGGCACGAAACCACTTTAGTTGTTTTGGAACAATCTTAGTCATGGCATCTGCTCCATCTGTAATATTGAAAACAATAAGGTGAACGTATCGATTACATTTCTAGACCTTATGCAAATAGGCCGGGCATGACTGTTTCTTATCTCGGTTTTGACTGTTTATGGCAACAGGATACGCAGATCGTTTCCATAAAAGGAAGCTTGAAGTGCCACATCACATCACATATTTTCTTGTATTATCTGTTAAGTTCCGTTATAAAATGTTTAATAAAATTTATATGCTACATCCATCTTTTGCAAAACTTATCAATCTACTTGACATACAATTTATCATTTGCATTTTTCTATCTTATAAACCCGACTTTGTATGTAACTGATTTTCCTCTTGTAAACATGGCCAGCATTTTGCTCAACAACGCAAAATCAATACATCTTAATGATAATCAGCAGAATTAGCTCACAAGGCAACAATACTTGACAGTTTCTATAGTTTTAAAAACTCTCAACCGTACACTCATTTTTCCTCACTCACGTATTTCCCCAAAATTAGTAGATTCTGCAGAAAATATTGAAGTAGAGTATGAACATACCAATATCTATTCCGCAAACTGTATTGTTAAAAGCGATGTGAAGAGAACATCATCTCTCACATTATAGTTTATTTTTGTTATCTTTCATATTCGTTAATAATTGTCGGACTTTTTCTTTTTTTTATACGAACCATTTTCTCTTGGAGCAAAAGTTGAAAACAAATTGGATCATATTTGAGGAAATTTCGAAATCTTGTACAATACGACGAACTCTAAAAAATGACACTATTCATTTCCAATTGACAGAGCCTTGAGTTCCGCGACATCGATCTGATAGTATTCAGTTTGGAGAAAATCTTGTGTACGATTTAGACTCAAGTGTTGTTCATCGACAGACAAACGGGTAGATGGATGTTTCTAAAAAATTAAAGAAAGAAAAACCACTTTCCGGGTGTCAGATACCCTCTACATGTGTGTTTCCATTAATATCTTATAATGTATCTTATATATTAATTCCATTAATATATTATTTTTTGCAGCTTTACATAACTTTATCTATTCTACGTATTCAGTGTAGTAAATAACCATCTTCATAGTATACCGACTGTTGTTTTCTTTTCAATGATCCATCGACTATTTTGCGGCTACTTGTTGTTACACGACTTGCTTTAGAAAATTATATTCTACCATTTGCTTAACAACTACATAACCACACATTTTCACCTTGCAGTTTCTTCCATCAGAAATGAGAAGTAAACTGAACATTATGAATAACCTACCGCAATTGCCTCAAGTACAATTCGTAATGCAAATAGGAATGGGTGTGCACTCGATCGGGCGGAGGAGCGCGCGCGTTAAGAAGCCTTTAGAAGACGGACGCGATTATGTTAACGCTTCCATCGGCAGTAGTACTGTGCTTGGCGTATTCCAATATTTTTTATTCGACCGATGCGTGCCAAGTTGATATTACGCAGTCACAATCACAGTTACGTCGATGAATGCTTTAGTTTCATAGATACTATACCACAAATATCCATAAATAAGTCGCAGAGCGAGAAAATCACTAAAGGCTTGGAACACTTAACGTTCGTACGGCACATTGACACTTCTCCGTGCTGTTCGTATTCTTCTAATGGAATTCGTATTCTAAAAGAGCGAGTCTTTGATATATAACTTCTCCCCAACACTAATTCTAAACACACATCAGCTCTGCGCAGTGGAACTCGTAGGCCCTTGATAACATAAATATTATTTCTTTTCCATTTACTTAGGACACTCTAAAGTTCAATGTGGAAATAACCGAGTTAGCACTAATACACTACATGTTTTCTGGATATAGTCGAAATTTGTTTTTTGATTTTCATTGGCTATTATTATTTTGTCCTTCTTTAAAAAAATAAAACGTTTTAACAAAATCTCGACCTAAACCAACTAGAAGAGATATAAGAATATATCTAGAAAATTATCTACAATATTTAAATGTGATATAGTACATGCAATGTCTAAATGCTCACCCAAGATTTTGCATATATTATAACAAATTTTTTATAATGTGTATATAATACTTAATTCTATAAGTCTCTCAAGTATCAAACAGTGCTATTTTATAAGCAAACGTTTTCGAAAACTTTCAAGTAGCCGCTTGAGATAGTAATGAGAGTTGTTCAGAGAAGTTAGTTATATTAATCGCAAAAGAGCTGTAGAGATATTTCCTTGTTCGTTCTTTCCTCGTAATAACGAAAGTGTAGTTATATCAACATCTCTCATGAACCGCAATATTCTCATAAAACAAACTTCAACGAATAGATTAGTAGACCAGAGCGCGGAGAGGCGGGGGAGGGGGGGAGAGGCGAGCGATGGCGCATCACATCTACCATTGGAGAAAAAATACACTTCTATATAAAAAGATAATACATTCGGGCTGTTGAATATAATTTTCGAGGTTTCTTCATTAGTGTGTTCTGCGTCACCCGTTCTCTCCTAAATTCAGTACAATGGAAGAAATCGGCCATCGTTGCCGCCTGCATAGCGATAGGGGAATAGTCGATCGTGGTCAGGAAGAAGGTCTGCAGAAATGGGATGGAGCACCCCCAATAAATCGCAGGCAAAGCGCCGTACCTTGGACGAGGAGGCGGCCGACGGTGGCGGCGTCGCCGTGGGCGCTGAAGGCCTCGCAGCTGTAGTCGCCGGAGTCCTGCTCGAAGACGTCAGCGAAGCGCAGGCCAACGCGCCCGTCGCCGTAGTCCACATACCGGAAGTCGTCGCAGTCGGGCAGTTCCGCGCCGTCCTTCAGCCACACCACGTCGATGGGCGGCGTCCCTGCGCCACACGCCGCCCGTCAGCCCTTCGGCCTCGCGATGAAATGAACGGAAGCATACGGGCTCATACACACAAACGTGCGCACGGGAGAGGGGGCAGTGGTGACCGTGCCCCCCTCCCTGAACATTTTGGAAGGGACCTGTACTCCTGCGTAATAATACATTTATTACCGTGAATACGATCAATTTCTTATTTTCACCGTTTTAAGCAGACAAGAGAATTGATGAAAGACATTTGAGGAAGAGGCTCTCCAAACCATGTGACAATTCTGCAAATGTTTCAACGTTATATCAATATTATTTATCAATTATATAATTCAAGTTATAATGGCATTGTTTTTGTACTGCGATTTATTTACAAGAATTTTCTAGATAAATATGTAATTAAAAACGTTTAATGGACAAGGAGGCCCAGAGACGCCCAGATATGTAGTTGGCCATCTGCTGTTTTAGACTGCGCACGCGTGTGCTCACACACCTGCGAGCCGCGCTCGTCTCATCACACGTGTGGTACCCCGCCCTGCGCACTTGCCCCGAGAGCCAAAGTCACGCGCGGCCGGTCTCCTAACGTGTCCGCTCGGGTGACGAAAAACACACAGCTAATTCACACGCTGTAAAACTGTAGTAAGAACATCTTTCCATAGACAAGACGCCGCAAACCTACTCCATCGTATCCACACAGGCCGCGCTCAGCCGCGCAAAAAAGGGAGAATAATTGACATATTACTTGTCAGTATTGATGTATGGTAGCATAGACAAAAGATAATATGAATGGATGAAAACCAGAACGGTATAACTGACATTTTGTAAATTCTGAAAATAAGGTGTGTACTTTAGGTTAGTAGCAATGTATTTTCGTAGTTTTAATGAACAATTAAAATGACGTGGTTTGTTGGTACATGGGCCGTCAAATGAATTCAAATTTGGTGGCACGCTTCGAATAACACAGTTTCGCTTCTCTCGGAAGGCATTTAAGAAGAAAAGGGAATACATTTCAAACGTCCCGTCTTCGAGATTAATTCTACTCAAAACCGCGCGATTTTTCCCCAGTAGACCAAATACTAATTTTTCAACAAATCTCTTTGAAATGGACTTTCAACTGCTTCGAAAAATCACTAACAGGTTGCACCACCTCCTGGGCGGCCGCTGCGAAAGTTTTGCTCATAGCCAGATTTCCAGGAATCCAATTTCTTCCACAGCAGACGCGACGATATCGCTCTATTTCAAAATCAGAGGAGCCGCGACCATTTTTGTAGCGATCGTGCCGAGAAGCTAAGCAATACGCGTATGGGGGAGTGCAATGATGATTGACAGTGGTGGTACGTGGGTAGTAATCAATGATTGTGTAGTTTCTTTGAAGCAGCGTTCTGAGGCGCGAAGCGAGAAAGCACGAGCATTAACGACGTGAAATTCGAAAGAAACGTTTATTTTCGTCCAGACAGAGATAACTGACAATCTCTTCAATACTCATTGATTCTTAAAGTAAAGTAATAATCTTAGTCAATTATGTGTCGCTTTTTTACCTAAAACTCTCTCGTCTGATGAGAACCCAGAAAACGATACATAAAACATAATATATAATACATAATGCTCTCTCAATTCATCTAAGCAATATTTCGCAGCCTCAACATGGTTTTAATGATGAAACAAAGTTCTACGACTTTACAGGTTTAAACAGATTAAAGATATAAACATATTTCTCAGAATTTAGAAATGTCACTTTTACCGTTCTGGTTTTCACTCATATCTTCTTTCCTCTACGATGTTAGTATTGGAATAATTTCGGAGAATTCTCGTTGCGGGCTCGTTTCCTTACAATCACTCCCACCTCGCAACCCAGAGCCTGGCTCGATGTCGGTTTGTATGTGTCTGGTGAGAAGTCTAGGAACCAGGATCGTTAACCACACTCACAGGTGCAGGGCTCGATAATAGTCGTTCATGCAATTAGTTTATAATGTTAAGCTTCATTGCATGAGTACATGTTTAGAAAACGAGCGACGTCAGGAGCGAGTTTTCAAATTTGTACGAATGTAATAAAGCAACATTATAAACGAGTTTCATACTATATTTTTTGTAAAACAGCATCATACATTTATAACAGAATCAAACTTAATTTTGCGAAACAACTTCCTTGTGACGACTCGGGTATTTGACATCGTGCGAGTAAACGGTGGTCGGCTGTTCCCTTTAGCTCTACCTCCCCCGATTCTCTCGCAACGATTGGCTGAATGTGTGATGACGCAATGATTCGTGACATAAAATCTAATACATCATCATTTGTGCCGTAAAATGCCCTATTATTAACGATTTCTTTCAACAGAAAAGGTTATTTTATAATGCTGGAATGCAAAAAAGAAATATAAGCTTTACGCTGGAATACTGAAATGGCGGTCGGTTGCTCTGATCAGTTTTCCAAGTTTTCTCCACGTGATCGTGTCTTCGTCTCGCGTGACCAATCGGGAGCTTAGAGCTTGCTCCGGATGTGGCGGTGCGCAACTGGTGGGAGATAGCCGGACAGGAAAAGGGAAACCAACGTATAGGTCCGCGCCGAATCTCACCATTCAACAAGGGAAGAACACCCGCCACCTCTCGAGATAAAAGCAGGCAATACACTCACGGGACTAATGGCCATAGCAGTTGACGAGCGCGCAAACACGAAATGATGAAGGAATGAATGTGAAATGCTTCCAGGTCAGTGAGCCCCGTATCAATCAGGTTGTTCGTCCAGTTTCCCTGATCTCTTGAGCAAATGCTGATATAGCCCCTTGTTTTGCTTCTGTGTATAAATGTAACTTTACTATCTGTGAACGTATTCTACAGTTCAGTGGGAAATATAGTAATGGAAATTACCTTTCTCCATGTTGTTGCGCTAGAAGTATATTCTGTCAAGAAGGACATGATGAGTGATAAGAACCCAATCCATAGCTAATTTGCCTTTTAAAAATTGATTTTATTACATCGACGCGAATGATTCTTGACAAAAACGCTCATTTCTTTCTGCATTCAGACTTCAACTTGATGTGGCTTAAGGCAGGATTTAGGAAAACGTGCACATTATACACTACACACGCAGTTTCAATTCCCCAAACGTGCGTACCTTGGAGGCGCGCCACCAGCTCGAGCGGCGCGCCCTCGGCGGCGCGGGTGAGCGGCGGCAGCGGGGCGGCGAAGCGCGGCGGGCGGCGGTCCTCGTCGCTGGGGTCGTCTTCGGCCAGCACCCGCACGAGCGCCTCGCTGCGCGCGCGCCCGGCCTCGTTGCTGGCCACGCACGCGTACACGCCCGCGTCGCCAGCCTCCAGCGGCGCCACGCACAGTCGCGCCGTGCGCCCGTCCCACGTGGGGGTGACGCGCGCGCTCTGCACCACCAGCTCGCCGTCCCTGCGCAGCACCAGCGCTCGCACCAGCGCTCGCCAACGCCACCCACAAGCTCGGCAGGCAGAAGCTATGTACAAGATGATCAGCGAAATCCCCCTGCCCTGACGAGGCACGCCTGCTCCATAAGGTCCCCATACCCACGCTGCCTAAGGGCCGCCTCCACGCTATAATAGCAATCCCGTACGCCAAATACAATAATAACAGAGGAGGAGACGGATGCAGCGATTATCTGCTTCCAGAGTTTCGGCCGTCATGTTGCGTTCCTCAAGACGGGGAAGTTCGCAGCATGACGGATGAAACGTTCCTAGGACGCGGCTCTCCCGACCAACCTAGCAGATAAAGACTCTGGCCGCGGAAGCCCAACTGTCGGATTCACTGAGCGCCGTCTCAAAAACATCTAACTTTTTGACAGGCACACTCGGGAGAAAAGAATTACATTCACATTTCGCGAAGTAAGGCACACATTAAAACCAATGAAACAAATCTCTGGGCGATTACGTCCTTGGCTGGCATTGCACTGCCACGTTATCTCGACAGCACAAAAGTGCGTGGAGAACTTACTGCGCCTGCGCAGTGTATTCCGTCTCATGTGCATCACTTGAGCAGTAACGGTTGCACCGATATCGTGTGTACTCCACCCGGTGCTCGCCTGAGCTATTTGTTCTCCTCAGTCCTGTCTCCTTTTCTATAAATACAATAAATATAACTGAACCGAAATGTTATACGCACTGAAACAAGGGTTTTTTTTGAATGGTATCCTAACTCACCTCTCAATGGAGGAAACCATTCAAGAATACATTCTTTGGATTGGTATTGGTGATATCTCTTCTAAGAGAAGACAATTGAAACATTGTTTTCTATAATATATCGACTAATAGAAAACACCTTACACTTTTTCCATTTGATAAAATATCAACGCTTTTCTTCAAGATCAGTTTTGATGTCCTTATCTAATTAAAATTTATTTGTCTCATTTTTTAACAATAAACCCTTAACATATTGACAATTATTTTATCAAAGAATACATACTTTTTTGAAATAATTATTTCAATTCTATATAATATTCAAACGGGAAACACTGATTTCACAACGGTTGGTATCGGCTTGAGCAAAACAGTTGGACATCCAGATAATATTGCTGCAGCATAAGAGAATTTTGACAAGGACCGTCACATTTTTTACGAAATCGTAAAATATAAGGATTTCTCTTTATTTCATTCATCTAAATAGAATAAAAATAATTTCTTAAAATGCAACACTTACGTTTCTGTATCTGCGGCCATTCCTCAGTAAATTTTTGCACAGATACAGGAGACAGACATTAATTCACATTTAAGAAACGATGTGTTGTGAAACAACTTTAATAGAAAAAGGTTGTGTCTTCAGAAATTGCTGCAGTGCGGTCGCGTACCTGTACCAGGCGACGGCGGGGTTGGGCGAGCCGAAGACATCGCAGGCCAGCTCGAGGCGGCCCTGCGCGCGCGCCGCGGCGCCCACGAGGCGGCGGCCGAAGGTCGGGGAGGCCCGCGGCGAGGCGCTCCACGCGCGCACGCCCGGCGCGCGCGCCCCCGCGCGCCCTGCAACCACAGCGCGCCTTCTGCACCCGCTCTACCAACCGCACTGGGAAAGGGATACTCGCAAGATTGATAAATAAGTGAAAGCTCTCACGCATGTCTGGAGTCAAATCGCCGTAATAGTTACATACAAGTAATCTGCATAAAATCGTCTTTGGAATGGAAAGAAAGTTATCAAAATGAATAAATACTCGTGTTTCCCATAAGGGTCCTTGGGATATGAAGAGAGAAATGAAGCACGACTGAGAAGTTAGGAAACACTGCATTACTCATCGTTCCATTTGACATCACTCGTTTTCTCTTTTTTGACTTGGGCAAACGTTGAGCTATGACGTGATACGTCACACCGCTGAGGGCTTATTAGGACCAGTCTTTTGTGTCTATTTTCAAGAACACTTATATTACAAGACACTCTTGAAATCTGATACTGGGAAACGGCTTCAAAAGCTGAGTCCATGTTTACACTTGCGACTGTGGTCCGTACAGGTGTAATGCGTGATGTAGTTGAATTATAATGAATGGTGAAAAGTTTACCACAGAAACCCAAGCGCAAGATGAGACCAGATTACAATAAATAGGACTGAAGCAATTATGATGTCCGTAAGTGCGTTATAGCATTTCCATCTTCACCTATATTTCCTTTATATAATATGCATCCATCATCCCTTTCTCGTTCTTTTCAAATCCACAACAATTAATAGGAAAATTACAGTAAATAAAGAGAGTTGGGGACCGAGGTCTCACTCTCAGATCGCAGACTCTCACACCTTTCCCTAGTCGTAGAAGTCATCAACTCTTTATCATGATTTCATGATCAACAACAGTGTATCACAATGAACCTCAGACGTATAGGTGCATGGAGAAATAAGTAAACAACAAGTACTGATTACATTATTACAGAACGACAATCCGCGGATTTTAATTACACGTATCCACGTGCTTTTGTTCTATTCTAGTGTGCAGGAATCACTATTATTTAATCAACTACTAAAATTTTAAATATCCGTCTCCATTAAATCAAAAACTCATACATTTTCTTACTAGTTTTAATCAAACCAACTTTTTCATCGAAGGTATAATAGAACATTACTAAGCGTCCCACTTTTACAAGGATTTTTATTGAGATAGAGGTCTCATTTCCCAAGTGTTTTATGACTAAACAAAGTCCTCTACAGAAGGCTTAAACAAGAGAATGAACTTTGCACTCCAGCAACAACATTTACGAAAGGAGACACTGAATACTCTCCGGCGAGGCAGTGCAGGCCTTGGGCCACAAAACATCGCCCACCAGCTGACAAGTGACAAGGGTTCAGAAGAGGATGCCGCATATCCAATAACCGAACAGGTACAGTCTGGGGCAAGAAGCGCGGCGCGTAAAGCACGACTCCTCGACGTCATTGGTTGCAGTGAACGCAACAAGTAGATTCCCGAGTACACTGTTCCGAGAACTGAGAAGAAACACCGGTAGACACCAGTCACGAGGCTGCACAGGAGCCCATTGTGATGATCAGTCAGGTCATGATTCATGCTACGAAAGGTCCTCTACAAGAGACAATGTTTAGTCTTGTTAATTAGGTACAAATAATACATACTTCTTTTGTGAAATATTACTTTGAAAATCGTCTCCAAAATATTTTGCTAAGGTTTAATGCATAAACGTGTGTAGATATGTAATGGTGAGCCAGAAACCAGCAAATTTTCCGGAGGACACAATCATATTACCGAGCCTTGGTAGCGAAACATTGGATAAATCCTGTTGCTACACATAGTAAATTACATCCTCTAACACGCGCTGTAGCCAGATTTCATTTTTTTGTGGGATTTTGATACCGAAAAATCGTTTGAAAGCAAAACTTCTCACTGTCTGTCCACGTGTGGTCAACGCTAGCCCCTAAACCTTTCAGCCGATATTCTTCAAAATTGATATTCTTACATCGATCTGATTGAACTCAAGGATTTGGGAGTTACAATCTATAGTTTGATTTTTGAGGGACATAAAGCCTCAAAATGTACACAAAGTCTCAAAAACAAACAAAAAAAAGCAAAGTTTATGGAAGTTTAAGCAAAGTTTTGTAAACCACTAGCTGTTTAAAACAGGTCAGTTTACAAAATTTTCTTTAAAACAAAATCTCAAAATTTTTCGATTAAATTTTTTGCTCGAATTTCATGAAGGTCACTTAAGAGAATGGTGCATGTCTCATGTTTGTTAAAATACAAATGTTTTGAAATTTGCAAAAGTGCAATTTTTTGGGCGTTTTTCTACAACTATGATATTGAAGATAGAGATTTTTTCCTTAATTAAATCTGTTCCATAAAGATCTTGAAATAAGGTCATGCAGAATTTTCCAAAAATGCGAGTAGTTTTCGAGTAATTTTGCGCGAAATACAGGGAATTTAATTTTTTTAATCAGTTTTTTTTTCAAACGGCACCAGATTTTTCTTTGAAATTTCTCCTCGTGTGCATCGAGGGTCGGTAAGAAATTTAGTGCTAGTTCTATTTTCGGCAAACTCTTCGTATTTTCAAAAAGATCTGAAAGTTAACAGTAATTTTCTAAACTACAAAATTGAATATTTTTGCTTCAAATAAAGTCTGTTGTTAACAATCAGCACTTTAAAAAAGGTCATGTACATTAAAGAAACGAGTAGATTTTGTCTGAAATGTTCGCAATTTCTATTTTTTCTAAAAAAAAAATGCTCCAAATTTTTCTTCTACACTTACTTCTCATATGTCTCAAAGAACGGTAAAGATATGACGCTAGTCCCATTTTCGGCTAACTCCCCATATTTTCGAAAAAAATATCAAAACTACAATATTGAAGATAGCGATATTTGCGTTAAGCAAAGTTTTGTAAAACACTAGCTCTTTAAAACAGGTAATGCACAATTTTTTGAAAGAACTAAAAGATTTCGCTTAATTTGTGTTGGAAATTTATGCAAATTCAAAGAAAGAAAGAAAATTAAAAAACCGAACCAAATTTCTTCATTACATTTCTCCTCGTATATAACAACGAACGGGAAAAATACGGCTAATTAACGGCCGAAATAATGCTAGCACATTAATTCGGAAAGCATCCCGAAACAGCGCATTACAAACTTGAACTCAAACGCGACATAGTTAAAAAGCATTTAAATACTAAATATTGGCAGCGTTTCTTATAAGTAGTATGTTCAATATATCACAATGGATTACTGAAGGGTGGAATGGCATTTCAGTTACGTATCCAGCATTTTTGGGAGAGCTCAGTGAAAGGATATCCTCTAAGCTAACACACAGCGTGACAAGTGCTCTCAGATTTTCATCTCCAGAAGTCGCCGCAGTCGCCGCCACCAGCTGTAACAGGATCGATTGTCGGGGGGACAGTCCGTACACGGCGGTCCATTCATGCAGAGCTGCTCCGAACGGCTGCGGCTCGACGTCACGGGCTTCGGAGAAGCCAGGCCACGGCGCGGCGGACGGCAGCCATTCAGCGGCACCGCCGGCGAAACTGCCAGACGATGCGGTGGGCCGTGAGGCTTTTTCACTAGCAATCGCCCAACTTTCACATAGGTTCTTTCTCTGTAATCGCTCTGGGCCCCATACGTAGGAAACAACAGTCTTACCCCGTCTCCCCATCGAGCGACGGCGCTCTAGGCCAAGGGCCAAGGCCAAGGCCAAGGGCGGGCCAAGGGCCGTTGACGTAGTGCCCGGGAGAGCCGCTTGCGAACACCTAGTAGGTTTCCTGAGTGGAAATAACACACCCATATGAATTGCCAGCAGTATCACCTAGTGGCATAGCAAATCTTGAATCACTAGAATAAACTCAGAATTTTTGAAGAACTTGACCTTTACTTTCATTTTTCTTGTGCACTTCTTCCTATATCCTTCAAATAAAGTAAGTTGTGGGAGGAAGGCTGGGTGGAGCGAAGTCGCTCGCCTTTCACCAAGACAGCCCGTGTTCGATTCCCGGACAATAGCATGTGAATTCTGTTCCAATAAAACAAGTTTAGCTGCTTCACAAGGGCTAGTGCAATCCTTGTGAATTGTTCTAACCCCTATCCTATTCTAATTCCTTCCCAATTCTGGTCGCTGGGCGGTGTCGTAGGCGCGGATGCGGAGTTGCTACCTGGCGGTCCTTTTGACAATTGACTGCAACGAGTTGTGACATGTATTGACGTAAACAAGTAAAGGAGGGGTACTCCTAAAGCTCACTACAACGGAGGATTACTTCCAAGAGGCTTTGCGTCAATTCAGACTTAACAAATAGTTTTTAAAATAAAACGCATGAGCAAGGATTGCTCGAGAACCTGGCGTTTCAATAAGTAATTTTATGATAAAGTGAAAATATTTTATGATAAAAAACACATTTAATTCATGTACACATCCCAATGCTTTCCCAGTCGACATTAAAATATTTTTAAATTGTACATTTTAAGTAACACATTTTCTTAAGCAAAACTATTTTAATATTTTTAGGGACTCAGAAAGCAGTAACATTAGTTTAAAAATGAAACAATCCTACGAACCTTGAAATATTAATTCCTTAGCACCACAGAAACCATTATTTACTGTATCTATAACATAACCAAAGCATTATTTACTGTATTTATATGCGACACTAAATTATTGTACATGTCCCATTTCTCTTCATTCATTGATAAACGTTCATATGGTGTCTAGTGTTCCTTCAAAACATTTAGTTCATTTAAATGTAGTTACACGACTTTTATATATGTCATAAAGACTACTTTTGTTTTAGAGAAAAGAAATGAAAAATAAAATTTTCAGCGGAAGAGAATTAGAAATAACGTTTACCTTGTTTTTTCATTTTTTTACTCAGAAGCGGATCCAGCGGATCCAGCGGAGCCTAGAGTTTTCGAAAAGTCCTACAGTTTTGGTTTCTTACTTCCCTTTATTCGGCAATATTGATTTTTATATATATATAATTATGTAATTAAGAATATTTTATAGTATCTTATATACACTACAAAATAATAAACAATATAATAGCAAGTATGATTCTTATTTAACAATGATGCCCCCCACACGAAAATTTACGGCTGGATCCACTCCTTTAACATATGAATATAACACGATTGACTATATTCGATAATGTTTGTA